GTGTGTTACTGAAAGGTGCAGTTATTTGAAATGTATTAAAGAAAATCAGACTTGTTTCCTAAAGTTTGAACTTACCCTCACTGCTTCTGCCTGGGTGGAAAACTCAACAAAAGCAGCATCTTTCTGAAAATATAGGCAATTACCGGTAATTCAGAGATAACAATCAACTCCCAAGCTTGTTAGCTATTAGGACAGTTTCCTTGAGTTCTTTGTTGGAGATGGTAGTAAAAGGTGGCCCTAAATTTTCTCTAGAAATAATGCTGTTGGACTTACTTCACCACTCTAGGAAAGACAATAATTATATAAAATCACCTTAATCTACTCATTAAATATTTTGAAGTGTGGAATAAAAATTTACAGTGCGCTTCACCAAACTTTTGACAAACGCTTTCCAAAGTTTGTTTGAAATTCCTGAAGTTTGCTACGCAATTTCGTTACGTAATTCTCAATCAAATTGCGAACTTCAAAACAAAGTTGTGAATTTAACGCCAAACTTCATTGGGAAGGAGCTGGTCATTATGTAGATTTCTAAATAAAATACCTGTGAGAGATGAATACTGGTACATGAAACACAATCAATTTATATAAAATTTACATATATTTCAACCACAGAATAAAAATCAAAGTTAAATACATCACTTAAAGAATTGTTATAAAGCCTAGGGCAACCCTTGTGCTCAGCTAGTTAATTGCTAATTGAGCTTCGAAATTGAAAAGATTTCAGTGGAACTGATAAACCACATAGTTCAAATTAACATAGGTTTAGCAATAAAATTGTTATCGATTTCATCAATTACATTTACCAGGTTAACTTACTAAATCGTAACCAGCAAGAGTTGTCTCAGGAAGTAGGATAAGCCTACTTGAAACGTTTTGCTTGTAACAGCGGGCTATCTTTGACCCCCTATCTAGGGCAACCTTAGCACTAGTGGTTACCCTACCTGCTTGGAAACAGGGCCTAAAGCTGAGTCCAAATGGGAAATGTTTGTTGACCACAAACACGTTTGGTGACAAACATGGTTGTGTTGTACAGAGTGGCCAAACGGTATCGAGCTTGTTTGAACGAAAAAAGTGTTTTGCAATATTTGATTTCATGTTGATGCCGTTTAAATTTTATCAAACACGATCCAACACGACCCAACAAGGTTTCCAAACGAGAAAATGTTTGGTCACAAAACAATGTTTGATTGTGTTTGATCACCAAACATTTCCCGTTTGGACAAGGCTTAGAGCTTTCGTCCTGAGCTTGCGTGCGGTCGTAAAATTATAAGGAGCCACCTTAAATAATTAAGCTAAAGTACAAAAGCAGTGCGTACTAGTCAAATTAAAACAAGCCCGGGTCCAGGTGATTAACATTACTTCAGTTGCATTCCAAAATGCCGAAGAAATACTCACCAATTTTCCTCGTCTTTCCATACATATTACTTCTTTAGCTCCAAAGTGTTTTAATAAGTCGGTTTTATCGCTTACACTAAGCTGCGAAGGCAAGTGTTTTACCAACAACTTCGAAGACCCACCGTCCACCATATTGAAATGTTGCCCTTTAACCGCTGAACAACACTTGACGGGCTCAGAGCGGAGGCAAATAGACCATGGGGTTAGAACCTGTCCAACACAGTGTTACTGCTCAGTTACTGACTTTATGGTTGCAGGTGACCAAAACATTTTCCACTCGGTCAGTAACTGATGCATCCTGATAGCAATGGTGCCTGTATATTTACAGCCTCACCCACCCACCCATCTCAAACCCTGATATTATGTCAGGTGTTAAGAAGTATGGACAGGGGGAAGGGGATACTCTCTAAGGATGTAAGACTACAGATAAAAGAAATGGGTCACACTCCAACCAAAGGTTTTCAGAGGTGATCTCCACCTATCTTCCTGGGGTTGGGGGGATGGGGTCTGAGTGTCCCATATCCCATTAATTTTTTGACCTAAACATATCCCATATCGCTTAAAACTTAACCTTTTGCAAATTAATAATCTTCCTACTCTATATCCCTGCATATCTGCTTTAACCATCCAGATTTTTGAAAACCCTTATAGGGGCCTCAACAGGGCAGCCTGGCACTGTATCACCCTTCTCTTCAGCATTAAGCTGAGCACTCACATTTCAAGTGCCAAAATCACAGATAATATTATTATCAAAAGCGATCCTTTCCTGACATTTTGGAATGTCAGTACAAGATTCCTAAGTCCATGATCAATTTTGACTTTGCATTGAATTGAGCTCCATTTGTACTAGCACCTTGTATTTAAAGACACAGTATTTCCCATTAAGCACTGCACGCTGTGATCTCTTGGCAGCCATTGTTGTGATGTCGAAATTAATTTCTGGGGATTCTTTTGTTTGTCGCCAGAATAGAACTTGAAAACAATAGACGCCTCCCTCCTGTGAAATCCAAAACAACAACAGAGGCGCGCGAAGCATAATGGCCAATACTGGGCCTTTAACACCAGTATTTGTAGCTGGATGCAATGTATCCAGGTAACAAATTATTTTTGCCAGAGGCAAGTGACAGCCGAAAATACGTCTACATTCGCAGGCTACTGGTTACAAGTATCCCAGGACATTCTCTCATTCTGTGGCAGATCAGTTTTGTTGAAAAGTGGGTAGGGGCTAATTTTTTAATGGGAGCAGTCTGGGCCCCTTCCTGATCTACGATGACACTGAAGTTCACAGACACACTTCATTTATTTTACATGCAGTGAGTGATAAATGGAACTGTGAACCCCAAGAGCAAACTACAAGGATGAGTGTGCTTGACTTTAACCCAGAATCCAATTCGAACTGATAGGCCACCATGCATGGAAAGCATGTATCAATTCAACTTCTTGTGGTCTTGTACAGCTAAAACATAAGCCAATCCTTTGGTCAAATTTTGTAATCACAGAAAAATGTGGCACTGATACCAAGAGTTGTTTCCCATTTTATCCTGGCAGATTCTCACACTGTAACTGCACAAAGTTTAAATATCAATATCTGGTTAAAAGGGAGAAATATTGCACTTCCGAAGAGAACAGAAACACAAGAACATTTTGAGGAACTGGAGAAATAACTCAAGAGATGTTGCATCATGGTTCAAGCTCAATTGATTAAAACAACCTTTGAGAAAATGCAAATCCATCCAAAGTAGCCCCCCCAAAAAAACACAAACAGGCCTACAGATCAATCAATTTCCCTTCATTACAGTTACACAGTTCTGAAATGTGCGGGTGGCCCAGTTTTTGTGTTTGTTAATCGTAAACAAAAATGCAATGACCTCTCCCGTGTCCTTGCAGTCTCATTTCTTTCAGGCCTGAATTGTGACCACAACTAAATTCCCTCAACAAGCAGGGTTGAACTTGTTAAACAGAGTAATGCAGTTTCCATGGAATAAAGGTAAATAAAAAACCCTACCACATACACAAAATTTTGCAAGTTATTCTTGCAAGTTCAGGTTGCATTTCAGCCCATTACTAATACAGAATATAGCTGGACTCCACTGATTCCAACTTGCTTATTTTGAATTCAAAACCATTTCCCTTGAATTTTGCCCTTCAGTCATTTACTATCAGCTATTTCAAACTCCCACTATCTCGAACTACTTTCCGTCTCCCATGAGAGTATGAAATAGAGGGGTTCGTGTGTACATTACTCCTTTAGGAATGGAACTTAAGAATAACTGCAACATTTTTTGAATTTAGCTATAGATATTGGATACATATTTTTAGGCTAACACAATTCCTAGATATTTACAGCATTAAATGGCTGTACCAAATTCACAACACAAACCATGGCAACTTCCAGAAGACAAAAACAATCCATTTTTCATCTGTAATATAATCCAGTGATAAAGACATTTTCTCTTGTCATTATGCCTCAATGTAACTGCCCAAATTAGCATTTAGCAAATGCATTTCTGTGCTAATATCACAAAAACAAA